AAGGCATTAAACAAATTAAAAATAGAATCATGATCGAATTGCATTAAATAAAAATCCAAGGAAATAAATAATATACAAGTAGTGACCAAAATGAAAGAAAACAAAGCAGGGTGCCAGCGGTGTGAATACGTAATTTTACAAGGACTCGTACTCTAATTATACTAATTTTGTTAAGTGTCACGTCGACACTTCCATTAAATATTAACGTCAAGTAGCTATATTAAAACCATTTAAATAGTTCAATGGTCATATTGACGCAAATTTAAAAATAGTAGTCATTTTGTGACCATGCCCTTAGTTATGTGGTTATTTATGTAGTTTACCCTAAAATTTATTATTACTCATAAGTGTTCATACGTCAGATTTGAATATGGGACTAACACACATTGTGTTTATTAAAGTCCAACCCAAATTGGAAAACGAGTCCCAAACATATTTTCAAGCCCATCTATATTATTTTATAATTTTCTATAAAAAAGTGTTTATTTTATTTTTAATATAATATTTTTATTTTAATAAAATTACTTTTATTTTGTTATACGTTAATAACTTAATATATTTCAAATATTTTCAATTATAATATTATATATAAGGGTTAACTACTTCAAATACCACTTAACTTTAAGCATGTGCTTGTTTATGTCACTGACGTTTTAATTTTATAAATTTTAACACTGACGTTTATGTTTAGTTGCAATTATGTCACTCCGTCGTTTATTCATTAACGGAGCGATGACATGACATCTTTGTTCTGTGACGGCGATGACATGTCTCACTCATCGAAACGACGTCGTTTTGGCACGACCGTTTTAATGCTCAAAAAGCTCAAAACGGCGTCATTTTTGTTGATTAAAAAAATATTTTTTGTGGGATTCTAACCATAGACCTTTAAATTCCAAAGTGGTTTTGCATAAAATAAAGGGTCTCTCATGGAGCTCTAGTCCCTACCATGAGCTAATAGTAGAAAGAGGCATGTCCCTTCAAAAACCCAATCACTAGAATGCAATTGCTAAAACAAGCTCAAGAAGAAGCTGCCAGTAATCATAATTCATAACCAGAACAAATACTACATCAAGGTTTGTGTATTTAACAGGCTGTTATTAAATCAAGAGAAACTATAGAAAGAGCACTCATACAATGAAAACAAAATAGATTACAAAATTTTAAGAAACTGAAAAAGGTTAGCGTAAACTATATTTTACTTTCAAAAAGTCCTCAGAGATGCAGACAGTTCCATACAACAGCTGCCAATACAGTCTTACCATTACATCAAAACTGCTCATATGTACAACATAGTAGGAACTGAAAATAATTTCCTTTTCTCGAGATTTAAAAATTTTACTTCAAACCCCTTCAGGTGAGAATATCTTTTTTGCACTTTGTCTCAACTCTAAAGAAATGTTAAAGTCCTACCATTTTCTGCTGAATCGTTGAGTACACTTTCTTTCAAACAAATAGCATAAAAGATATCTTAAGTTGTTTGTAACTGTATAAAGACTGGAGTGAACCTGAGGTATCATGTTTGATAATGAAGTTATAACCGCTGATATTGATCGTTCCTTCAAAATAACAACATATTAACTTCTCTGAAAAAAAATTCTTGACTAGTATGACCTTGTCTTCGAAGAAAATTACAGTTTAATGAAAAATAAAAATAGCTAGTATTAAATGTTTTCACATAACTAAGATTCAAGCTGGACAAACATCAAACATGTTGAAAATGAAAGGTGCCTTCCCTAGTCAAAGTCAAATGACCATCAAGATGCAGTTCTTTATGCCATTGTTCTCAACACTTGCGAAAAATGATTTTCCTTCTAACGGGAACAAAGTGAGAAATAAATAAACATGCAGTGTGAAGCATTGCAGTTGCAGGGATCTGTCAGATATGCACATGAAATATGCAAAGCTACCATGAGTCACATCTATGTGACTTTGTGGGGATAGACATGTGCATAAAATATGAAAACACAAATTTGCAGAATACATAGCAACGCACTCTTTTATTTTTCTGAAAATAAACATAGAGTAACACATTTAAGACACAATTAAGTTTGTTTTGGATAATAGATACTTGAATAGCAACAAAGTTAAATCATTTTAAGTATACATTTCATATATAAAGAAAACGTGCCCTCTGAACTTCTCCAATAAGCAGCTCAAGCAACAAGTAAACAAAGATGAAGACATCTAAGGTGTCTAACACTTAACAATTATGCAAACAAATTTTTTCTAATAGTAAGTGAATTCATATAAAAGAATGGAATCGAGAGCAGGTAATTTTTATCATAACATCTTAATGACATTCACTTCCGGTTTGAAAAGTCATTAACTAGCACCATTCGTAGCCAACTGACAAAGACATTTTCAAATGTTATAGATATGGGATGTAGCAACATCATGAACACTAAAAACAGACGACTATTAAATGATTTCAGCTGATAAGAAGAAAACACATATAACGAGTCTTTCTAAAAAAACATAGTAAAATCAGAAAAACAATAGGACCGATCTTCAGGTCTTAATAATCAAGACGGTGCAACTTCATTTTAAAAAATGCCAAGGTTTGCATTATTCTCATATCCAGTGATTGGAAACACAACATTTAATTTAGCAATCTAAAGTTAAATTGAATTGAAAGTCAAGGAGATCAACACAATGTTTACACTTGCAGAGAACTTTTATGGAGGTTGCTTTAGGACAAGTGAAACATTTAAATTTCACAATTTCAGAAGTCAGTCCAATATACTTTTCATTTTACACCGTCAAAGAACGGAAAAAGGAAAACCATGAATGAAGGCACCTTGCAGAAATTAGATTTTATGGACTGCATTATATTGAAGCCTGAAGTTCAGATAAACATTACTCAACAAAAGAAACATTCACTTACCATGTAGGTGCTCCAGCCATTAGCAGGAATTATGTTTTGAGGTCCAGTATTGAAGGAAGGGAATAAAGTTGCCGTTTTTATCTTAAACTATTTTGATATTCTTCAATTGCTTGAAGAATTATTCTCTTTAGCCTTGAATTTCAGTGGGGAGAGGAGGGCAGGTTATGGAAAGACAGAAAATGCTAGTGCTTCCTTTTCCAAGCAAGAAGATTTTCCTGCTTGGGCAAGAGATGTGAAACAATGTGAAGAGAGGTACGAAGTGAATCCGGAATTGGGATTATCAAGTGCTGAAGTTGAAAAAAGGAGGCAGGTTTATGGATGGAACGAGTTAGAGAAGAAAGAGGGCACATCGATATTTGAACTGATTTTGGAGCAATTTAATGACACATTAATTAGGATATTATTGGTTGCTGCAATCATATCGTTTGTTTTAGCTTGGTATGATGGTGATGAGGGAGGGGAGATGCAGATAACAGCTTTTGTTGAGCCACTGGTTATTTTCTTGATCTTGATAGTGAATGTTGTTGTTGGAATATGGCAAGAAAGCAATGCAGAAATAGCGTTGGAGGCTTTGAAGGAAATTCAATCACAACATGCAAATGTAGTTTGAGATGGTAAGAAGAACTCAAATTTGCCCGCTAAGGAACTTGTCCCAGGTGATATTGTGGAGTTGAGAGTTGGTGATAAGGTTCCTGCAGATATGCGGGTTTTGAGATTGATAAGCTTTACTGTAAGAGTTGAACAGCGTTCATTGACTGCAGGGAGTGAAGCTGTGGTAGTGATGAACATTTATAATAGTTTTGTTAATGTTATTCAGTTTTTAAGTTAGTTTGGTGGTTGGATATTTAACATTGGATTCTAAAAGTCTATGGTTTGAACCTAATGAAAACTATTTTTTATCAACAAAACGACGTCGTTTTGAGTTTTTTTAGCATCAAAATGGTCATGCCAAAACGACATTGTTTTGATGAAGGAGTCATGTCATTACCGTCACGGAACAGAGATGTCATGGCATCGCTCCGTTAATGAATTAACGGCGGAGTAACATAATTGCAGCTAAACATTAATTTCAATGTTAAAATTGGCAAAATTAAAATGTCAGTGACATAAACGAGTCCGCGCTTAGAGTGAGTGATATTTGAAATAGTTAACCCTATATATAATTATACTTTTAACTTTTAGATGATATAAATTAGGATAAATTACATGTTTAGTTTATAAACTATCAATTTTGATATGTTTTAGTACCTAAATTTTGAAAATTTTCAAAATCATACCTAAATTTTAATATTTTCATTTTAGTACCCCTGTTCAAAATTTAACGTTAAGTTTTGAATTTTTTTTAAGTTTAGGTACTAAAATGGACCAAAATTGATAGTTTATGTACTAACATGTTAAGTTTTTAATGGCGGGACACTAAAATGAAAAAAAAAACTAAACATTAGGTATGATTTTAAAGAATTGAAAGTTTAGGTAATAAAATGGACTAAAACTGATAATTTAGGTACTACATGTGTAGTTTATCCTATAAATTATATACTATATTAACATCTTTTAAAACATCTTTTAAATTGAATTTCAATTAAGATGTCAATAATCTTTAGAGTAGGTGATTGAAAGATAATGGTTAATATATCTTCTCTCCTTAAGTTATGGGTTCAATACCTATTAGGAGAAAAATTTCTGAAACAAAGGAAAATAAAAGTAAGAGGAGGACAAGTTTTTAAGTTAGTAGAATAAATTTTAGAGAAATTAAATCAATGGATCAAATTGAACTAAACAAAAAGATGAATGACTAAATAATAGAAAGAGGAGGACAAGTTTACCATGTAACCATGGTGCCATCTACATGAACATCTACTTTTTTTTTTAATTTGATCTTTAAACTTAATATTTTTTTTCTAACTTAATCCTTTTGTATTTTGTTATATAAGACAATCTCAAAAGACCATATCAATCCAAGTTCAAATTGCAGAATTCTGGAAAATAGTTTTAAGTTGTCAAATTAATTCATGTGCAATTACTAATATTTTAATTTCATAGATAAACAAAATAAAGAAAGAAAGGAAAACTCATAATCACATTTACACTAGCTTCCGAATTCCTTGTTTTAAATTCAGAGATACAAAGCCACACTTTCATTCATTACAACTTGGGAAATTGCCTTCTGCAATTTACAAAAACAAAATAACTTGCTTGTCAAGCAACCCAACAGCCTCCTTTAACCCTACAAACAAGAGAAGAAAAGGAATCGATTAGATTGACAGAAAAAATGAATGCACCATCACCCATTTTGAATCACAACTTAGAAGGCTATTTGAAGCACCTTCAATGGCAGAAAAAACTTGTACAACTTATTCTAGAATCTCAATTATAGAACCAAAGGATGTCTTACAGAATCACACAGTTGATTTGCCATTAGAGAACATTATGATTAAAGGTTGAAGAAACATCTTCGATATTGATCATGACATCAAAGAAAAACAACATCTACGCAGAGCTAACCTGTCTCCTCCTTTGACTTTGTAAATACCATGTGCGAGCCACCACATAGCATGGAAGAAGAAAGCCAGCAAATTGGAGAACCAAAACCTGAAACTGATGACCCAGATTCTAATTCAGTCTTAGCTTCAAGCAAAACAAATTAAGAACTATAACGTCGCTGTTATCACTTATATCAACAGCATTTTAAATGAAAATTTTCAACTTATACACATAAACATAATTTGTTTTGTAGTTCGGCGTATTCACCTTTACATCACAGCAAATACGTATGACATTTCTACGGCCCAGCCCTGAATGTTACCATGTAAAATATATGCATTTGTATGGCACAATGTACAGACGTAAACAATAAACTGTCAACCGAGGAAATACTATGGTGCATTAGATATTCCAAAGATGTTACTTTGTACTCACATTAATCAAAGTAGATGACTCCTGGATCATGCCAGAATCTCTTGTCAACATAAGGACTTGGCGTAAGAGCAAGATGATAATCAACTGCAAACAAACCGACACAACTTTCCAAACATGAGACATATTATCATTCGTAAGTAAAGAATCTCTAGAAATAATAGTCTTATTTGCTTACAATAAGAGCAACCACACGAAGACAGGCAAGGCTACTGCTATTTGCAGCAACATAATCTTCGTACTCTGATTGGAGTAGCTGGCTTTGAGAAGCAGTTAACACTAGAAGGTGTGAGTCACGGAGATCGATACGCGGGCTCCAAGCTTGCCTGATTACAAAGATTATGCCAAAGAAAAAAATAACGAAAATGAAAAGGCAGGGCCAACGCACAAGATCAGAGCTATCGATGAATTGACATGCATTTCTAGAGATAACCTTCTGAACTTGAAACCAACCAAAAGACATGGACATTTTATTTTAGAAGGAACGAACTGAACAAATCATTGTCCTAATCCTCACATATTTTTCCTTTTCATCTTCCCCTTCGTTTTCAAATACCTCCTATGGTCCACTTCATGTTTTAGATAATAAAAAATGGTCGAACGTAATGCGTTGTAGATATACATTACACAGGTTTGCCAATAAAGAGCTAATATGCTGGCTGATATAAACCACATAGATGAATTTTCAAAACTGGTTTATAATTTGTGCCGCCTTTTGTGCAAGGCAAATAATGTCAATAGAATTATAATCATTCAAAGGAAAGACACAGGGGTAGAAGGTGTAAACCAAAGAGAGGATTTACCTTATATCGATTGCCAGAAGGTCAGGATTGCTTCTGGTCGGAGGCAGAGAATAATTTGGTGAAAAATCCTGATAAAAATTAGAGCAATATTGTACCCATTATCCATCAATGATGTACTTTTTCTCTCTTGATATATGCAAAAATTAAAAGAAAAGAGATAAAAGCACCTCCAACCTGTTTGCATATTTCGCAAGTTATGTCACCTTTCTTGTTGCACCATCTTTGAATGCACTTCCTGTGCGCAAACTGAAGCAAAAAAATGAAATTGATAAGTTAAAAGATACTCCAATTATCTCAATTAACAAATGTATATTAAACCTGATAACCATATAACCAAACTATCAAGAATAGGCTTCAAAACTCAAAACACATGTATCAAGTTGAACCATTAAGTATGCCAGGAAGAACAGACCAACTTAAATGCAGAGAGAATACAAATACTCAACTTAAAAACTATTTATATGAAAGTATAAGCACAGGGGCTGATATCGGAGGAAAAGGTTCATTTACATCATTGATTTAAATAGCAGTCCGCTATCGGAATAGCAGCCATTGAATGAGGTAAAGGTGTCCACGATCATGGCAATCGCAATAATCACAACAAAAAACACGACCAAAACCACAATTTAAATCCATGATTTACATATCAAGAACTGAAACTCGCATAATGTTTATCAGGCAGTTAAAGTTCCCTTAAGGAAATGAGGAGTTCGAGTAACACAGCTAAGCATCTACTATTCCAATGCCAAGTAGAAGTCATGGAAATGCATGAAAGAGAAAGCAACAGGTAAATGTATGCTGTTTTTCTTATAAAATCTCTTACGAAAATAGAAAGGGACAGAGTTCGAATAGTGATAATTGATGATTTCATATTGAAGCTTAGGAAGTAACGTATGAAGAGAGAGAATAAGTCAAAAGGAGACCAGAAAAAAGAAAACTACATAGAGAAGCACATGCCAAGAAATTGCTCACTTTCCAAAACCAATAAAACATCCTAGAAAACATCATATCACCATGGCTACATAACTAAAGCCCAGCTATATGCTCACCCCCATAAAAACTAAGTTGTGTATTTTATTAATGATATTAAAAGTACATAATGCAATGAGCCAATAGCATAGACCCAGCATTAGGTAGACAAAGTCAAAGGATCAATATATTTTAATATTTTTTTTACAACCAGCCCCTCCCCTTACCACAAAAAGAAGAGTAAAAAAAAAACAGATGGCAAGACCAATAAAACATTCAATCAGAATCATCTAAGAAAATAATCAAAAACCCAGAAATAACAACTTAAAAAAGATAATTTAACAAAAAAAGAAAGGAATTTCAAATCCAATCAAAGGAAAGACCTTTAGAGTGCCACTGCAAGCACAAGGAGCTTCCAGAGAAAGGAAATCATCTTCCTCTTGACATATCCTACACTCCACTATCTCTTTCATCTTCTTTGAACAATACCCTTTTTTCCCTTCTTCTTCTTCTATTAGTTTTCCACCATTATCACCACCACCACTTGCTTTCTTCATAGAAAGAACAGCATTAGTATCCCCAGTTGTGGCAGCAGCAGCTGAGTTGGGTTGTGCAACTTCACTCACTGAAGAAGACTCATAACAAGGTGCAGACGCTATGATTTTGTCTACACACACCATGAAATCATTCACCATTTTTTTTTCTGTTCACTTTCTCTCTTTAATGAGTTCTTTTGGGCTTCGAATGTACAGTTTTTTTTTGTGGAGAGAGAAAGTGGGGAAGTGGGCGGTTTTAAAAAGGTGGTGGTGTTGGCGGAATTTACGAAAAGAGACCAACTTTGTATGATGAAAATGCCCTTCTGCTGGTTTTTATTATCTATTGTGTCCCAAGTCCCAGCTAAAATATCTTTGACTGCCTAAACCGGTTCAACAAGCTTTGTTAGGGGTTATTATATGAGGGCCCAATAAAAAATTTCAAGCCAGTTGAATTGATGAATTATATTTAATAACTTAAATTTTTATTTAAAATTTATTTAAATTAAGTAAAATTTATGAAATTCTAAATAAATTGTTTAAGTTTTTATTTTAATTTAATTACAAATATTTATAATATTAATTTATTTGAATTTAAACGATTTTTTATGATCATATATAATATATATATATTTTATATATTATATACATATTTTTTTTTTCAAAATGGTTGAGTTTTTCTGACCCTTAGGGTGCGTTTGGTTCACGGAATGTAAGATTACCAGTGAGAATAAAAGATTACCAGGTAATAGGATTACTGGGAATGTTGTATTTTGAGTTTGGTTGGTTTAGCAGGAATGTAAGATTATCGTGTTTGGTTAAAGGAATAAAAGATTATTGGAATGTATATTTGACCAAATTATCCTTATTATATATTTGTATAATATTACAAATTGTAAAATATTTTTATATTTTTTTAAAAAAATTAAATTCATAATATTTATATAATTTTTTTTACAAGATTAAAAATATAAAAAATGTTTAATGAAAGGGTAAAAAAATTTTAACCCATGAACTTCATATAAAATTTTAATTATAGACTTTTTTTTGTAAATTTAAAATAATTTAAGGATAAATTTGTAATTTAACCTTCGTAGAATTTTTATTATTCAATGACAGAAGAATGATATTTTTGAAAAAAAAAAATAAAAATTTAAGGGCATTTTAGTCCAAAACGCCGGTAATGTTACAATATCTAAGGGAAGAGAGATAATAACATTCCCGGTAATATACCCCAAAAAATCTACTATTGATAATAAAACATTACCGGGAATGAGATTCCCGATCAACCAAACATCCCATGAGAATCTCACAATCCTTAAATCAAACACCCCTTAAACTTTACCATAACTACGACCAACTGTAATTTATTGCTATTTAGCTTGCCGGTCAGGTTCCGGCGTAAACGCAGAAATTGTCAAAGTCAAATAAAACCCTTTTCCCTGCATTACATGTTACATTCAAAGTTCAAACATTGAGTTTTTAGGTCTCCAGGACTAATTCTTCTAGGGTTTGTTTTGAAACTAGTATAAGAAGGCCGCCCGTTTTATACCAGATTAAATTTATTTATTTTTAAATACTATAATGATTTTCAAATTATTATCGCCATAAATTAGTATATTAATCTGATGGAAGTTTTATAATATACAATTGAAAGTTGAAAGACGATTAGTAAGTAAAGAGAAAATAAAATAATGTAGACCAATGGACCCTATCAAATGATTTTTTATTTATTTAAATTTCACACTTGAAGCCTATTATACAAATATTTTTACTATGGGTCCATGAAATAATTCCGAGTATGGCAATATATTAATATTGTTTATGAAATCTAAAGTTTTTTAATAATTTTAGATAATTATAAAATATTATTTGTTTATACTTTATTAATTACTGATAACGTCCATACTTTATACATGTAACTGTTAGAATCTAGAACCTTAAGATAAGACATTTTGTTTAACTATCAAGGTCATAAAATTTAAAATTATAAGCAATGGACTATTTTTAATGAAACATTTAATTTAAATGCCCTCAAAAAATTTAAGAAAACTGACATGCAGAAAAATAAAAGGATTGTATATAAAATATGAGAGTTAGACCTGGCGAGTTTGGGAAACTTAAAAAAAATTATTTGGATTTTCGTCAACCCTCCACATAATAATAATAATAATAATATAATAATAATAATAATAATATAATAATAATAATAATAATAATAATAATAATAATAATAATAATAATAGCGTTGCCATGAAATTGGGGATGCATATGTTGTTGTATAGTTGATGGGAGGATTTAATAATGGTGAGTTGGGGAAGGGTGGGTGCAAGTGGGGGTTTAATATAATTATTGAGGAACAATATGGATAAGGGAGCAAGAAGAAAAAAAGAAAGAAAAATAAAGGTCTTGCATATGATCATTAGTAGAATAAAAATAAGGGTAAACTACTTATTTAGTCACTCATCTATTATTTGTTTCTATATCATTCAGTATTTTTAAAAATTATACTGAAAGTTACGTTTCGTCTTCGTTTTGATACCCACCGTTAAAAAATTAACGAAACAAAAAATAGAAATGAAACGTAACGTAACGTTAGATCTGATTACAAAAGAAAATAATTAGATTACCAAAATCAAAATAAAATAATAGAAAGGTGATAGATAGGTAGTTTACCCCACAACTAATTCAATACCTGTATATCAATATTATTATGAAAATAACTAACCATTAACTATGATTTCTCTCGGCCCTTTGTTCCTCGGAGGGTGTCATGGTTATAGCTATTGCCGGAATCCGATGTACGATAGGAGTTTCTTATATTGATTTTTGTCTTGGCTTACCGGTCCACTTTCCCGATTGTTGTTCAAGCCGATGCGATACTTCTGTCCTCGTTTCTTCTAATCTCGTTGGTGGCATGCTTGTTACCACCAAACGCAAGACTAAAATCATTTTTAGGAATCGAGGTTTGATTTTACTTTTGATTAAATGAGTTTTTGAAATAACAATATATGCGACCAATTTTTGGGAACTAAGATTTTCTATATTATCCCATATTCGATCCAAAATAATCCACCGATCTAAAAGTGTCACATTAAGATATACATGTTTCTCTATATTTCACAATGTTCATAGTATAAACATTCAAGTTACAATATAAACAAGATAACACGGTGAGTAGTTTATCAATCTTAAAGATTAGGTGTTATCAAGTACATGAATATCGATATATGTTATATGAGTCATACAAATTATCTATATATTAACGTAATAGTATCATAAGTTACACATTAAATAATATTAAGTATCATGAAAGAGTGTGTATACATAACACATTTCATCATTGATCCGAATCATTGGTACCTTTTAATGTTTAAATCAGATTGTTTGCTTCTTGAGTCTCGTATATATCAAATATTAAGTACCTGAATAATAGTCGTCATAATATTAAGTTTTCATGTGTTTTTTCCGACTATACACTTGGTCATTAACTAAAATAAAGCATGTTAGTGGTCATAATATTAGGTGTTCATGTGTTTCTTCGATTGTGCAGTACTTGGTCATTAACCAAAATAGAGCATGTGTATTACGTATAATCAAATTGCCGTTATAGTTATGCATTATCACATTGTCATCAAAATCCACAGAATAGTTGTGAACTAGGCCCTAGCCAACATCATAGTTATTTGCAAACTTATCAGTTTTATAGATGTTTTAGTCATTTCAAATCTTATACCCCTTTACTAACATATTTAAGAACATACAAAAGATTTAGTGTTTTATGGAAGGATTTTAAGGCTTGCTACTACAAGAAGTATCAATACTATAACTAAATATTGATGCTCAACTAGGGATATTGATAATCATAAAGGGTATCGATACTAAATGATCATATTAATTTCACAAACCTATTTAGCAGTGACGGAGCCATGTAGGCCATCCCCAAATTTTTTTACCATTTAAAAATAGGGATAATTACCAATTTAGACCTTTAAATTTTGATTAATTTTGATTTTGCACCCTTATTTTCTGTTGTTAATTATATTTTGTCCCCCTGAACTAAAATCCCGGCTCCGTCCCTGCTATTCAGTATTGCTATTGACCTAGGAGTATTGATACATATTCTTACTCACCTAGAAAAAGTTTATTTTTAAAGGATATTCTTACAACATAAATACTCATTTATAGTGTATCGATACTCAAATCAGAAAAATCAAAATAAGGCTTAAAAAAACCATTTCGATTATCCTTTAGACCCATGTTTCAAAACTCCAACTAGTTTCTAAATTTGTTAACATGTCTTTTAGCATTGGTTCTACAACTTAATAACATAAAAAAATAAAGCATCATAAACATATTTACCTCCCAAAACACTTAACATGTAATACATTATATTTATGAATTTCATGGTGCACTTTAAAGTTAAATGTGTACTATATGAATTTTCAACAACTACCAACTCTCTTTCATAACACTCAAACACCTTGGCCTTCTTCTTATTCTTTTAGGCGATGTTTTGACTTCTTGAGCTTTCAAAAATATTGAGAATGCTGCATTAACACTTGTATAAAGATGACTCGAAGAAAGAATAAATCAAGGTACGATTGTAGAAAATATTTAGCTTCTCGTTTTCTTGAATTTTTCTCATCTAACCTTATTTTTTTCTATCAACCACAATTGCTAAACTTATCCATTTTTGTCTTGAAGCTCATGTGATATAAATATTATTTTTCATATTCAATGCGTCTAAATGATTTGATTCAATAGAGAAAGTTATTATTTTTTCATACCAAATTTTAAGTTTTGAATATGAGAAAAGATGAAGAGGGAGAGAAAGTTTAAAAATATGAGATCACCCCTTTATCTTTTATCCCTTAAAAGCATATGTTAAGAAAAAAGATTGTCTAAGATCTCAGGTTTGAATATCGCATATGCATGATGATTGTATCGCAATAGCATGATTTTTTAAGCTTTACATGCCTTCTAATATAGGTAAATTATCTTTAGGGCATCCTTTTTTTTCCAATCCTTAATACAATAACTCTTCTTTACCCCTAATTGGGCTCAATCTATCACTAATTAAGCTCAAACACTTGATAACTCTATTCCTCTCATTAATTGGTTAATCTTTGCCTCAAAGATTACAACTTTATGTCATCCTTATTTCAATCCTTAATACAATAACTCTACTTTTACACCTCCGGTTAGCGAATGAACATTGACTCAAAAGTTTGAATTA